AAAACCGTGAGTATCGTAGGTGCTCTTTACTAATGTATTGTCTATTGATTTATAATTCGCCTGAGTTCTTAGGAGGTATCAAGAGGGCTATTTTTTCGCATACAGCCAAATTAAGTGCTTGCTGTTGATTTTCTACGCGGCATAGTTTTTTGAACATTTTGCTGAGAAATTGTATCTCAGGACCTTGAGTACTTTGAATTTTGCTTCAAGCCTGAACATTACATCGTTATTTTCTATTTTATCGCGTGCAACTCGCGATTTTGCAATTGAGTGCACTCGCGATTTTGCGATCGCGCGCCACTCGCGATTTTGCAAGCGCGTGCACGCGACGGGCACAATCGCGGTCGCTCCATCGCGTGTCCGTCGCAGGGTATGATGGGGCTCTGATGCAGCCGCTCACTTTTTGTTACATTTTTGCGATTCGCTGCGGGTTTTCTCCTGGCTTTGCGTTGTCTAGGTTGTTCAGTTTGGTATTTCCATCCACTCACATCTATTTCGTCCTAGCATACTTCAACGATGTTTATTGGGTGCTAAGTGGGTTGGGGGGGACCACGCGGCGGCGCGGCAGTCTGCTCACCTGGGCTCTCTCGAGCGAGACAGTGTAAACTCGAACATTCCAGCTTTTCACGCATGTCAAGTGACTGCCCTCACCCCCACCCCCCTAGACTGCCTACACTCCCCCTGGCCTCACGGATTTCTCGATTTGCCACGCGCCGCCGCGTGGTCCCCCCCAACCCACTTAGCACCGTTAATTGTTCCTTTCAATCAGAAAGTATGGCAGACAATCGCAGCGAAACACCAGCCGGTGGAGATGCTGGAGCAGAGTACATTAAGCTTAAAGTTATTAGGCAGGTGCGTTAATCGGCGGGATTTTTTGCCTTTATCCCGAAGTAGTTTTTTTTTCCTGTTCATAAATTTGTCCCAGGTTCTTCATTCACATGGTATTCTTGTTTAGGACGCCCACGAGATTCACTGTCGAGTAAAACAGTGGACTGCCATGGGCAAGTTAATGAAAACCTATGCAGATCGAACCGGACTTGCCCTATCTTCATTGCGGTAATCTTTTTTTTTCAAGTTCATCGCGAAAATTAGTAGAAGAAGTGACAAACACTGGAGTTATAATTCTGAAATGCCTTGAAGAATCCAAGAGAACATTCGTTGGAAGTTCTTTCTAGGGCCATTCTACTCGACACATTTCTACCGCGAGCTTTTTTTGGTGCAATGCTTGCCCGGGTGCAAACGACGTTGGCAACGAACATGAGCGTCTTATTCGGATCAGGCCTCCAGTGATTATTATGCCCAAATTTACTGCGAATTTGTTGGAAGCAAGCGTCGCACCAAATTGGCGCGAAATTGCATAAAATAGTGCTATCCTGTTAGCCAGGAGGTACACTGCCTATCTGGGGCAGGATTCACGCCCGAGTCGCTCCTAACGACCTAAGGGGCGGTATCGATCGATTACTGAGCGTAGTCTTTAGTTCGGCCCCCAAGTAACGCTGTGCTTGGGAGGAGACTCGACTCAATCGCTCAGTTTATTCGACACTCAACAATGAATCATACAGCCGGAGCGCGGATCTTATATAGCTGCCTCAGGGGGCGGTACCGGAAGTAGGCGTGAACCTCGCTGTGATTGGCCGGTTCTCCTTACAGGCGTTAACGTGATCACTGACGACGGCTCCGGAGTATCGATCGGCTAAGGCTATAGCGGTTGAAATGGATTGTACTAAACAATGAACTTTACACAGCAAACAAACAAACATAGAAACGCTTCTCTAGGATAACATAACATGCCCGGCGGTGGAGAAGAGTCGTCCCGACTCCCAGCTATAACGATGTCCTTCACTGGAAGAGCCTGCCTGGAGTACGATCCTTTCCAAATTTTCGGTTCCTTGTGGGAGTATGTCCATGCGGGTTTCCTCTGTGCTGCAGAAAACTCGTACGCCTCCTCTTTCGGTCTTCGCTCGATTCCCTTGCTGCTCGTCCATCGGATCCACGAATGACCGGTTCACGGAACGACATATTGAGATGATGGCGGGCCTGTCCTGGATCTGCGATAACAAAGAAATTCGGCTTGAACTCGTCTCTGCGTCTTTTCGCTCGTGCAGCTTTTTCCTCGCGGCGCACTTGCTTCAGCTCGATTGACGCGGCATGGAATTCCGGCAGTCGAAGGATGTCAGCTACCGTGACGCGCAGTTTCTCCAAAAATAACACAATTTGTCTTCCATTGAACGGTGATCGCTTGAATCTTGGGTC